ACATGCCACCATCTTGGTAGGGGAGGGAGTGCCAACAGCTCTTTTGGAAGATGGAGGAATCAAGTTTTTGCAAAAGCTTGCTAAAGACTAATGGGAGCTTTGGTGCTACTTATTCCTTCAATTAAACAAGTGATTTTTAAGCATCTACTATGTACCAGGCAATATGCTAGGCCCTAGAGATAGGGAACAAAGAATGAAACAATCCCTACTCATTAAGCAGCTTACATTGTAATGGGGATACAAGTACATAAAAATATGTACATGTGGCATAAATACAAAGTTGAAAAGGGTATGCTTATTTAGCATATATACATATATGTTAATTCATAGATAAAGTTGTTTGGAAAGGAGAGGTACTAGCAATTGGGATGTTCAGAAAAAGTTTCATCTAGATGATGGTTTCTGAGTTGTAAATTAAAAAGAAGAACTTTGTAAGACAGAGATAAGGAGGGAATGCCTTATAGAACTGCAGGATGGCAGGCAAAGATTCAGAGATAGAAGAAGAAATGAGGAACAAGTCCAATTTAGGTCAAGTGTCAGAATGAAAGAAAGAGAGAGAATAGTATCCACTAAGAAAGTTAGGCTGGGGCCAGATTGTGTGGGACTTTGAAAGCTAAACACGGGAGTTTTTGTTTTGTTTTGTTTTTCATACTAGAGGCAAAAGGAAGTCACTAGAATGGGTGAGTCACAAGGCCATGCCTGAACTGCTACTTTCCTACTTTATGGAGTGGATCTTTACTCCTCTATTTCAGGCCTTAACTCCTCCTTGACTTAATAATTAACCTTCTAGAGTTCCCATAGCTGAAAATCCCATCATCCTGCAGCCCACCAACATGGGAAGAGGCTTTCTGAGCTAACCTAGACTTGGTTGATGGTTCAGTTGTTTTTCAGTTGTGTGGTTTTCTTGGCAAAGATTCTAGAGTAATTTGTCATTTCTTTCTCCAGCTCATTTTGCAGATGAGGAACTGAAGCAAACAGGGTTAAATTACTTTCCTAGAGTCACAACACAGCTAGTAAGTGTCTGAGGCCGGATTTGAACTTATGAAGATGAGTGTTCCTGACTCTACTGTCTGCTCTGTCCACTGGGTCTAGGCTAACCAACAGAGAGCCCATTCCTGGGCCTATGATGAAAGACTTTCCAGTATAATAGGACATGCTAGACTTTGTGCTTGGCTGGCTGAGTCTACAGTCAGGCTGGCTGAGTCTACAGTCAAGCTGGCTGAGTCTGAGGCCACAGAGGAGGACTTGACTGAAGGGAGAATGTGCCTATAATTATAATAGCGACAACTCATATCTTCTGTACTGAAAACTTCTTTAGGTGCCACATTCTGGGATGATGCTGTGATCTCAAAGGCCGTATTAGTAGAGCCCAAGCCCTAGCATTTTCCACCAAGGTCAAAAGACTTTATGTGCGGTCCATATGATGTATCACTAAACTTAGGACAAAGAAAAAGATTCAGAAAGTTTCTTCACCAGAAATGTGGCTAAAACATCATAATTTTCCAAATAGTAGCTAACATTGACATAACATTTTAAGGCTTACAGTGTTTCATTCAGTCCTCACAGCAATTCTTAGAGGTAGGTGCTATTATTATCCCTACTTTACAAATGAGGAAAGGGAGACTGAAAGTGGTGACATGGCTTAAGCAGGGATCACATTGCTAGTAATTGTCCAAGGAAGGATCAAAACTCAAGTTTCCCTGACTCCAAGTCCAGTGTTCAATCCACTGTCCCACCACAGCAGATTACCAGTGATTCTTCCTTTTTTTCTGAATACTTACTTTTTCTCTGGGTTTTTGTGGCAGTACTCTCTCCTGCCAATCTGACCACTCCTTTTCAGGCTCTTTTGAGGACTCTATCCATATCATGCCTTGTAATTGTGGGTATTCTCAAGACACTGTCCTAAGCCCTCTTTGCCTCTTTGCATACATTCTGACTTGGTGAACTCCTCAACACCCATAGACTCAGTTTCAATCTCTTTGCTAATAGCTCCCAGTTTTATATATCCAGCCCTACTTGTTTTCCTGAGCCTCAGCTGTGAATCACAAAATGCCCATTAGTTATTTCAAATTACATGTCTTATAGACATCTGAAACTCAGTCTGTCCAAGACAGAGTTCATTGTCTTTCCATTCAAACTCATCTATCATTTGAACTTCCCTATTTTTTAATGAGCAAACCACCATCCTTCTAGTCCCAAATGTTTACAACTCTGGTGTCATTCTTAATTCCTTAATCTAGCTAACATTACCTTCAGATCCAATTACCTGCCAGATCTTACCAGTTCCACCTCCACAATATCTCAAATCCATCTACTTTTCACTACTCACATAGACACCACCTTAATTCAGTCCCTTGTGACCTCTAGCACAGACCATTGTAATTGACTGTTAATTGACTCAATTGGCTGAAATTTCTCTGTACTCTAATCATCCTCTAGGAAAGTGATTTTCCTTAAGCATAGGTATGACCATGTCTTTTCCTTTCCAAATAAACTACAATGGATTCTTATTGCCCTAGAATAAATATAAATTTATTTGCTTGGCTTTTTTATTTTTAAACATAACTTTTTTATTTTATTTTACTTTTTTTTCAATTAACAAGCATTTATTTTCTCCCCCTCCCCACTGGAAAAAAAGCCCAATCCTTGTAATGAATAAACACAGTCAAAACAAATTCCCACATTGGTCATTCCTAAAATGTATGTCTCATTCTGCACCTGTGGTCCACCACTTCTCTGTTAGAAAGTTCATCACTGGTCCTCTGGAATCATAGTTGATCATTGCTTTGATTAGAGTTCTCAAGTCTTTCAAAGATATTTGTCTTTACAATATTCCAATGGTCTTATAGATAAGGGGAACCTCAGAGAAGTATAATGCATGCCGTTTCACTGTCAAATATAGTGAAAGTTAATGGCTGGGGAAGGAGGGAAGCTCAGGTTTCCTGACTCCTAATCTGGGCCTCCTTCCATCCTTTTTAAAAATTGTTATTTATTTTTAATTTATGGAATAAAACAAGCATTTCATAGCATAGTATAATAAAAAGATGATTGCACATGAAACTGCAAATATATTGTGTACAAATTGCTATTCCTTTTAACTATATCATAAAGTTATCACGTAAATTTCTTTATTTTTCCTTTTTTTATTTCCCCCCTCACCTTAAAGCCCTTGGCTTTTAAAGCTGTTCAGAACCATCCTCCAACTTACCTTTGTAGCTTTATCATCGTTCTCCTTCATGTATTCTATAAAGCCACTAAAAACTGGCTTGTTAATGTTCTTCATGCATGACTCTATCTCAGCGCTGTTGTATTGGGTGTCTTCCATGTTTAGAATGTATCTTTCAAGGCTCAACTCAGGCAATACTTTCCTTGACTCTCTCACCTAATAATTCCTTTCCTCCCTGAGCTCCATGTATTTGGTTTATTTTTAATTTGTTCTGCATATATTTATAAAAATTCTTGTTGTCTCTTCTAATATGATGTAAGCCCCTGGAGGGAAAGTTGGTAAGGGTAAACCCAATATCAATACTCCCTCAGTTCATGCTCAATGTTGGGACAAAATGAGGTATTCACAAGTTGTTGGACAGTTAACAAAGGGTTTCTTTTGCCCTAACAAGACTATGCAACAGATTCTCTGGATGGACTGCACGCGCACACACACACACACACACACACTGTCTCCACATGGAATCATGTCTGGTCAGCAAAGCAGGTTATGATGAGTCATGATCTTCAGAAATACACCAAGTAAGAAGGTTCCTAACTCCATGTAGGGGAGGAGTTTTTGTGCTTTTAGGTGACCAGGAAAGGAGACAGGTACCAATCAATTCCCAGAGACACCTTTGTTAGACTTTTAAAAAGGGAAAACTAATTTGTTACAGAGAAACAGAGGGACCCTGATCCTATTACACGATAAATATTTGATTTGTGTTCACAGTGCCTGACACATAGTAGGTACTTTAGTGGAGAATATAAGGGCCTGGAGTGCTATAGTCCAGGGAGTCACAAAGAATCAGACATAACTGAACAATTGAACAACAACAATAAATGCTTGCCGAAAGACTATAAAACGAACAATTTTGAAAAACCAAAGAACTCTGATCAATGCAATGAACAACTAAGATTCCAAAAGATTGATGATGAAGAATACTATCTATATCCTGATGGAAAGGCAATGGAATCAAGATGTAGAATGAGACACATTTTTGGACATGAACAATATAGGAATTTGTTTTGCTTGATTATCATCTTCTTTACAAAGGTTTTATTTTCCTGTTCTTTTTTTGGAAGCAAGAGGAGAAAGCTACTGGTTCACTGAAAAAAATAAAATTTCTTTTGAAAATGCTCATTATTTCACATATTTGTATTGGTACATTATGATTGATATTAATAAATGTTTACTTAATTAATTCATTAACATGTGAACAAAAGTTGTGATTTAGATCAGTAAGGGGAGTCCCCACATCAGCGAAATAACAAACCTTCTGAAGTACTGATGTCAGTTCTCAATCACTGAGAGCTTTATACATTTATAAAGTGCTTTCTTCACAGTTACCACATTTGGAAGAAAACTACCAGTATTATGGTCTTCAGTGTAAAGATAAGAAAATTGTCCTTCGGAAAGGTCAAGAGAGTACATAATTCAAAGTCTTAACAGAGCATGACCTTGACCCCAGGTCTTCTAATTGTGTTGTTCAATCATCAACTCTTCGTGATCTCATTTGGGGTTTTCTTGGCAAAGATACTAGACTGGTTTGTCCTTTCCTTCTCCATCTCATTTTACAGATGAAGAAACTAAGGCAAACAGGGTTAAGTGACTTGTCCAGAGTCACATAGCTAGTAACTATCTGAGGCCATATTTGAACTTAGGTCTTCCTGACTCCAGGCCCAGCACTCTACTATGCCACCTACCTGCCCCACTTCTGTTAGTATGCCCAGAATTATTTCCTCTACAAATTTTTGCCCAGTATTCTTTTTTACTGTTTTTTTTTCTTTTTCAGGCCCTCCAGTTAATGTCACATGCAACATATTCATAAATAGCTTCGGATCCATTGCAGAGACAACCATGGTAAGCCATTTGACATCGTAAAATGTTTCAACTCCAAACTTGGAGTCATTTAAGTAACAAGCAGTCTGTTAAAGATACATGTGTGTATGCATATATGTGTGTATGTGTGTGTATTAAATATTAAATAACTGGTATAGTTAAATAATAATAATGTTTTATTAATGCTATTTTAAAGAATAATTATAAATGTAATGAAAACTGATCTTTACATATAAATAAATCTGTAACCTAATGCTTAAAATCCCAGAACAATACCTGAAGTTTTGACTTATAAATCAATGGCATTGCTTATTGATTCAGATTAATTAATGGCCCTTTGTTGAAATGGATTGATTTAAATAACTAATAATTCACTCTAGTTTATAATTTTGTTAAACTTTTGTTTACTTATTCATTATAATATGTATAGGATTTACATACCATTCTTCCAAGTTATAAAAAAAATAACATTACATTTTAATGTTACAAATTAATTTGTATATTTTTAAGTTGTATGTGATTTTTTTGTGATAGTATAATATTAATTAGGAAGCCAGAGTTTAGATTTCATATATATGTGTGTATGTATATATACATATATATACATACACACATATATATGTATATATATATATATATATAAAATTTTTTAAAAGAAGGAATGAATGTTATACATTCAACCTGTTATGGTTTAATCTTTATATTCTATTTAAAAGATTATATTGTATCTATGTTGTTCTCTGGGAGTCTTGCAGCACGCTTTGACCAAAAACAACAAAACTTTGACCTGAGTTGCAGAAACTGAAATTTTGCAAAATCAAACCAGAGCAAATGTTTTGTATATAAAATGCAAAGACACAGGTAAAAATATTCTTTAATCACGTGGTTATGATCTAGCTCAAATAAGATTATAGAAATATTAGTTACACATAGAATGAAATACCTTAAACATTTAAATTCAAATATTTAAAATTGATTTTATATAGCCTATATTAAAATAAAATGAACTGTTCAAGTTTATAATGAGAGAAAATAGGTTATAGACAATGATTATGTCCCAGGAAAAGATATATTTTTTTCTTTTAAAATTCAGTACTTTAGTATAGAACCATAATAAGAATATGCATAACTTGCCTTTCTTTGTCCATTCACTTATCACTGTAACTAGGACTTTGTCTACCTTGGACTATGACCATTCTTTCCAAAAGATGAATTTTGAAAATTACACTCAATAACAGCATACTTACAGTTGCTACTTAGAGGTTTTTATTGGTCTCAGAGCATAGTGAGAAATAATCTACCTTTGCCCTTCTGCCTAGAACTTACCAAGGGAGTAAGAACTTCCGGAAGCTTAAAATAGCAACTGGTAGTGTTGTCCATCATCTATGATGAGGAGTCTATTGACTCATATATTTAATTTTCCCCCCAATAATGGTGTTGAGTTACACTGAGCCATTCACACTCTCTTGACTGGTTTCCTGTGGGGCAAAGAATAGGTCTTTGCCAAGATGACTGAACAGGTTCACAAGTATTATTTCTGGGCACAGGGTTATCTTTTTTTTCCCCTTGGTAAAGAAAACTGGATCATTTAGGGAATGGACCTTCATTGGCACTGTTACCTAGTCAAAGGAGTTTTATTTAACTTTTGCAAACATGAACAGCAAGATAATTGTTCAGATATGAATGTAATGAGTTCTTTGAGGTGATGCTTGATGATGGTGAAGGTGGAAGTGAAGGAGCTTTCTGCTATTATGTTTCCTCCGGAGTTACTTGATTAACATAGCAGGACTTGGGGAATGAGGGGTGGAGGGAAGATAAAATTTCTTACTGCACTTACTGGAAAGCATTACATACAATTACTTTCACATTTGAATTCAATCAAATATAATGGAAATTACATGAGGAAATATAATTTTTCAGTTATTCCCCAATAAGTGAGTTTCTACTTTATTTCTAGCTCTTTGCTAACATGGACTGTTGTTATAGATATTTTCGATCTGTGTTTTCTGCTTCTGACTTTCCTTGGGATATATATCTAATGTAATCATTAAGACAAGATTATGAATGAATACTTGAATCACTTTTTTCTTGCATAATTCCAAATTGTTGTCCAGAATGATTAGGCCGGTTCAGTTCCACCATCAGAGGTTGTAATATGCCTGTATTATCACAGCCCCTCCAACATTGTTCTGATTTACCATCACCTTCAACATTTAGAGGTAGATTAGAGGTACAGGGAAAAGAGAGCTGGCCTTAGAATCAAAAGGACTTCAGCTCAAATCCAGTCCCAATACTTACTAGCTGTGTGGCCCTGGGCAAGTCACTTAACCTTTGTCAGTCTCAGCTTCATCATCTATAAAGTAGAAATAACAATAGCAGCTACTGCCCAGGGTTGTTGTGAAGCTAAAATAAGTTAATATTATAAAGTGCTTCTCAGGGGCAGAGCCAAGTTGGTGGAGTGAAAGCAGTGACTTGCTTGAGCTCTCCCCCAAACTCCTCCAAATACCTGTAAAAAAAATGTCTCTAAACAAATTCTAAAGCAGTAGAACCCACAAATAGAAAGAGTGAAACAAATTTCCAGCCCAAGACAACCTGGATGGTTTATCAGAAAGGTATATCGCACCAGGCTGGGAGAGAAGAGCAGTTCGGCATGGGCACGCAGGCCTCAGTGAACCTGGAGCAGGCCTCAGAGGACTGAATTGTGGGCAGCTGCAGCAGTTTCCTGACTTCTCAACCCATGAACCCCAAAGACAACTTACTTAGAAGGTCAGTGGGAAAAGTCTGTGTCTACAGTGAGAGAAAGAAGCATAGTAGTCTCAGCTCCAGTCCCCAAGCATGGCCCCAGGGCAACTTCTGCTTCCTGTGCTTCTGGCCCACAGACTGTGGGGGAACTGAGTGTTGATCAGAGGGGGATTGCAGGGATCTCTCTGATGGTGCAGGATTCTCTTGCTTTGCCCATGCTTGGATCTAGGTCACAGTTCTGGGTGGTGGTCCTGGGGCAAGGAGGAACACTGGTGAGCTATAGCTTGTAGTAGTGCTGTAGAGAAAATTCTTCTCACAGTTCCAAGAGAGAAAAGAGTGCTTGTGGTCACTCATAGACCAGAGCACAGGACAGGAAAGGAGCAAACACCTCGCCCTTGATCATTCCATCTTGGAAGAACTGAAAATTTACAGGTCCTTAGAAGTATCTCTGAAAACAACTGCACAAAATCCCTGAAGCTTGGAACAGTACATTCTCCACACTGCAAACAGATCCCTACCTTAACAAAGAGTTTATAACTGAAGTAATTGGCTGGGATCATGAGCAAACTTCACAAAAAAAGTCAGACCATAGAATATTACTTTGGTGACAAAGAAGATCAAAACATACAACCAGAAGAAGACAACACAGTCAAAGCTACATCCAAAGCCTCCAAGAAAAATAGAGATTGGTCCCAGGCCATGGAAGAGCTCAAAAAGGATTTTGAGAAGCAAGTAAGAGAAGTAGAGGAAAAACTGAGAGTGATGCAAGAAAATCATGAAAAGCAAGTCAACAGCTTCCTAAAGGAGACACATAAAAATACTGAAGAAAATAACACCTTAAAAAACAGCCTAACCCAAATTGGCAAAAGAGGTCCAAAAAGCCAATGAGGAGAAGAATGCCCGAAAAAGAAAAATTGACCAAATGGAAAAGGAAGTCCAAAAGCTTACTGAAGAAAATACTTCCTTAAAAATTAGAATGGAACAATTGGAAGCTAGTGACTTTATGAGAAATCAAAACACTCTAAAACAAATCCAAAAGAATGAAAAAAATAGAAGAGAATGTGAAATATCTCGTTGGAAAAACAACTGACCTGGAAAATAGATCCATGAGAGAGAATTTAAAAATTATTGAACTATCTGAAAGCCATGACCAAAAAAAAGAGCCTAGACATCATCTTTCAAGAAATTATCAAGGAAAACTACACTGGTATTTTAGAACCAGTGGGCAAAATAGAAATGGAAAGAATCCACTGATCACCTCCTGAAAGAGATCCCCAAAGGAAAACTCCTGGGAATATTGTAGCTAAATTCCAGAGTTCCCAGGTCAAGAAGAAAATATTGCAAACAGCCAGAAAGAAACAATTGAAGTATTGTGGAAACACAATCAGGATAACGCAAGATTTAGCAGCTTCTACATTAAGGGATCAGAGGGCATGTAGTATGATATTCTAGAAGGCAAAGGAGAAAGCATTACAACCAAGAATCACTTACCCAGCAAAACTGAGTATAATCCTTCAGGGTAAAAAATGGTCATTAAGTGAAATAGGGGACTTTCAAGCACTCTTGATGGAAAGACCAGATCTAAATAGAAAATTTGACTTTCAATACAAGACTCAAGTAAAACATGAAGAGGTAAACAGGAAAGAGAAACACTAAGAGACTTATTAAGGTTGAACTGTTTCCATTACTCCATGCAAAGATGATATTTGTAACTCATGAGTCCTTTGTCAGTATTAGGGTAGTGGGAGGGAAAAAATTATATGTATATATGTATGTATGTATAGATAGATAGATAGATAGATAGATAGATAGATAGATAGATAGATAGATAGATGGCATAAGGTGAGTTGAAGATGGAGGGGTGATATCTGGAAAATAAAATTTAGGGGTGAGAGAGGATTATACTGGGGGAAGGAGAAAGGGAGAAATAGAATGGGATAAATTATCTCACATGAAACAGACAAGAAAAGGCTTGTACAGTGGAGGGGAAATGGGGGAAGGTGAGAGGGAATGAGTGAATCTTATTCTCGTAGGATTTGGCTTAAGGGGGGAATAACATACACAATTGGGTATGGAAATCTATCTTACCCTACAGGAAAATAAGGGGGGAAGGGGACAAGAGAGCTGGGGGATGATAGAGGGCAGATTGGGGGAGGGGATAATCAGAAGCACACACTTCTGAGGAGGGACAAAGTCAAAAGAGAAAATAGAATAAATGGGGTGGGGGTGGGATAGGATGAAGGGAAATATACTTAGTTTTTCACAACATAACTACTATG